AACAACAACAACAACAACAATAATAATAATAATAATAATAATAATAATAATAATAATAATAATAATAATAATAATAAGGGAATAGAGATCAAGAAGAAAGTCATAGTTCATAATGTTAAACCTTCAGATACTTTGGCAGGTGTAGCATTGTTTTATGGAATCGAGGTTTGTGAATCAAAATTTGATTAATATAAATGATTTAATAATTAAATAATATAAATAATAATTGATTTTTAAATTTTCATCTTTCTTCTTTAGTTATCAATTCTTAAAAAAGCAAACAAGTTATGGACTAATGATTCAATTCATATGCGTAAATATTTAAATATTCCTCTGGAAGATTGTACAATAACTGAAGATGAGACTAATGTAATGGTACAGGATGACCATATCACTATAGTAAATCGTTTAAATAATTATTCTTCTTCTACTTCCACTTCTACTTTAATTTATTCTGATTCTTCATCATCTCGTCCTTCATTTTCTTCATTGTCATCATCTTCATCTTCTTCACCAAAAACTTCTTTGACCATTTATGAACGAGAATTACTTAATGTGAATAATACATATAATGACAATTCTTCTAATTCTTCCTTCACACCTAATTTAATTTCCGCGACTGATTCAAATTCTTCTAATGGGACAACAACTGGAACAACAGTTGTCACACACGCAGAAATACACCAATTGCCTTCATCACAATTATCATATTTTCCTTCTCCTCGACATCAAACGACAACAACTATAGATTCAAAGACCTCCAATTCTACAAATTCTTCTTTCTTTTTATCACCCTCGCCAATACCTGTATCATATATTAATAAAAAAGATTCTAATAATATTGTTGATAAATTACTGGTTAATTTGAACAACACCAACAATAATAACCCGAATTATAAAGATAAGAAAGGATTTGTTGATACAGTTAAAAAAATAGTTGGTGATAAAAGGAAAATACGGAATAATTATCCCGAATTAGAAATATTATTGGTTAAAAAAAAAAATAATTAAATGATTAAAAGTTTCATATTTGTTTCATATGTGTTTGAATTTAGTCATGACGTAAAACAACCTGTACAAAAAATTCTATTTATTTTTTATTTTTATTTTTTTTATAGAACCTTTTTTTTTGTAAGCTAGGAAAGGAATTAATCGGGTACAGAATCAGGAGACTAGCGTAATACGTATAAAAATACTGTGACAATACTTTTTTTATTATATAGTTAATAACAATATTTTAGTTTTCACATAAGGAAGGTTTCAATTTATTAATATATTCGAAAATAAAAACAATATATAAATATGAAATACAATAAAATCAAGAATACGTAAACTCATTTTTGTAATGTATTAATATAATACATGACATTATTGAAAAAAAGAAAGATAAAAAAAAATTTTGAGAAAAAACAATATATAAAAGAAATATTATGGTAAACGCAACGGAATGGTTGGAAACAAATTATCCATCTAACGGAACCTGTACCAGAATTGAAGACACTGAAAATTGCAGCAATGATAATGCTAAAATTCGTAGTCAGATTGTTAATTTAAATATTGATAATCAGGATTTAGATGGTGATTTTTCGGTGAAAGGATTCACCAACCTTGTCAAAGCTAATTTCTCTTTTAACAAACTAACTAATGCTTTCGACTTAAAAATATCCATTGAACTTGAAGAATATGATTATTCAAATAATCAACATAGAGGGGATTGGGGTGGTTCATCGTCTATCTTTCCTAAACTTAAAAAGTTTAATCTTTCTCATAATTATATAACTAAAATTACTTTTCAAGCACCGCAACTTACTCATATAGACGTTAGTCATAATTATTTAAGTGAATTAAATTTAAAAGGCATAGCTGATTTACAAACTTTGAACTGTTCAAACAATCTAAACTTAGAAAATTTAACTTTGCCTAACAATTTCAAACCATCAGTTTTAGATTGTTACAACACTTACTTAAAAAACATAACCTTTTCTAACTCATCCATATTTGATTGTGAAAAAGGTGTTTTTATCACTTCAACAAACACTACTACTCCCACTGATACGATTACAAAAACAGCAACACCGACTTTTCACACGATTCCAACCACTCATGAAAATCTCTCTTTAAAACTCGGTCTCGGATTAGGAATTCCTTTCGCTATTACTTTACTCGGATTATTGACTTTTTTTGGTTATAAATACAAAAAAAACAGAACTCCCGAATTTCGAGTCGGAGGAAATAAATAAAAAGAGTTTTTAAATTGTTTTTAATAAAAATTAAAAATAATAGTTTAGAAAGCCAACTCAAATATTTGTTACAAATGTCTCCCTCTTCGATATCAAACGGCAACGATAGATTCATTCGCAAACCCCCAGTTCTACTAATTCTACAAATTCTTTCTTTTTATCACCCTCGCCGATACCTGTATCATATAAATAAAAAGACTCCAATAATATTATAGATGAATTACTGACTAGGTTAGGAAAGGAATTTCTCCTTTAACCACCGCCGAGGATCATCCAGGGGTGTCTGATCAGGAGACTCTATATTGCGACAACACTTTTTAATTTTATCTTTTTTTTTATCCGTGCGATGTATTTCATTTTCATTTTCAATAAATAGTTAATAACAATATTTATTTATTTTTTTAAAGTTTTCACCTAAAGAAGATTTCAATTTATTATTAGATCGAAATTAAAAACAATGTATAAATATAAAATACAATAGTATCAAAATACGTAAACGCATTTTTTGGTAATGTATTAATATAATACATGATTGAAAACAAAAAAGAAAGATACAAAATGAAGTGTGTATGATAAAAAAGTAATTATTACATATTAAAATGAAAAAAAAAAAAAATGAAAAATGTTTGTGAGAAAATAAAATTCATTGATGTAAATTGAACTAATGTCCATTGATGATGATGATAATGATAATGATAAATAATGGGATAAAAAAAAATAATGTGATCAAAATAATGTTCAAATAATATATATATATAATATGTACATATGAATTTTTCAAAAATTCAACGTCCACCACTCAACTCATTCGTCACACTCACAACATATCACTACCACAACCATCACCACTATTAACTTATAACTACATTTAAAAAATATTAAAATATTAATCAAAATATTAAAATATAATTAAAATCTTTCCGCTGAATAATAATCACTAGCTTCAGTAGGCCAAAGTTTAATATCACTAGTCAAAGGATAATAAGCTCTTAATGTTTTGGTTAAAAATTCTTCCATACTTTTACCCAAAGTGGATCTAGTTAATGACCATTTAATGATAGAAATTATTTGTAAAGGAGTTAATACTTGATTTATATCTAAAGCAAATAAAATTTGTTCTTGAATTTCAAAAGGAAGTTTGGTTAATGCTAATTTATTATTTGAAGTATCATTATTATTATTGTTATTATTGTTATTAATAATATTAATAATATTAATGATATTATTATTATTATTAATTGAATTAAATTGAAGGTGAGTAGAGGAATTAAAAGTAGGTAATTGTTGTTTAACATTAACATTTAACATAATTCTCGCCGCTTTTAAAATTCTACAAGCCGTATTATATTTCTCTCGTTGAAGAAAATGATTTCTTGTTAATGATTGATGAATAGAATTTCCTACTTTTTCCCAATCAGCGAAATTATAATCCAATTGTACACCTTTTAAACTTGTATTCTTTTCTAATGCTTGAGCTAATTCCAAATGTCCATCTGCTCCCATATCATTATTTTTTTTTAATGAAAGATTTTGTAATCCGTCATTACTTTTTAATGCATCACTTATTGCTTTAATTCCTTCTAATCCAATATTACAATGTGAAAGAATAATTGATTCTAATGTTTTATTTTTATGAAATCCTGAAAATAAAGCTGCACAACCTTCATCACCAATATTATTATGAGTAAGATTAATAGCTCGAGGAACATTATGATTTTCTAATATATTACCTAATAATTTAATTCCTTCAATATTATCTCGATTTCCTATATTATTAAATTCCAAATCTAAATAAGTTATAGTTTCATTTGATAATAATGCATTACTTAAATATTTTAATCCATTATCTCCAATATTATTTCTTGATATATAAAGGTGAGTAAGAATTTTGTTAACTTTAAGTGCTTCCGATAAACATTCTACACCTTCTGAAGAAATATTATTAACATCTAAACTTAAACTAACTAAAGATTTATTAAATTTAAGAGCATCAGCTATTTTTTCTACTCCTATTAATTGAAGATTATTACTACCTAAATGAATATATCTAATAGTATCATTAACTTTTAACATTTCAGCTATATATTGACCACCTTGACTATTTAATCGATTCGATTCTAAACTTAAACGTTCAATTGATTTATTTTCTTTTAAAGCTTTAGATAAATGTTTTGCTCCTTCACTACCAATACGATTAAATGATAAATAAATTTCTTTTATAGTATTATTCTTCTTTAATAATTTCGCTATCTTCTTGGCTTCCGAGTCAGTGAATAAATTAGATGATAAATCTAATGTCTTAAGAGTGGTATTTTTATATAAAGCATCTACTAATACTTTTAATGAACTTTTACTTAAATTGTTTTTGGATAATTTTAATGTTTTAATTTTTAAAAATTTATCCGATTTAAGTAATTTAGCTAATAATTTACATTCTTGTAAAGAAAGACTTAAATTTTCATAATTTAAAGTTTCATATAAATTTACTACCGTACCTTCACTATTACCATTGCCATTACCATTATTATTAAAATTTCTTTGATAAGATTTTAATAAATCATCTAATTCCTTTTCAGTAATTTTAAGAAGAGAACCTTTTTGTATATGTTTTTGAATTTGAGTTATTTTAAGATATGAAGCAACTAATCGATGACCTTCATTAGTAAGATAACGATCAAGTGCGATAGGTTCTTCACCTCCTACTTTATTTTTCTTCTTTTTCTCGGTTAAAGCCGAATTCAAAGATTGTGTACGCGGTAATCCTAGAGTTGATGAAACTTTCTTCAACATTTTTTTTTTAAATTTAATTTGTTATTTGTTGTTATTGATTGTTGTTATTGGTTGTTGCTGTTTGTTGTTGTTCTCGTTGTTGTTTCCTTGTTGATAAGTTGAATTAATGTGTTTTGATATTAATGAAAGTTGTAAATGAAGATATGCGAAGTGCGTGCGAAAGTGAAAGAGATAAAGAGATAAAAAGAGATAAAAAGAGATAAGGTAAAGAATACAAACAGGTTAACAAAGAATGAAGTTTAATTTCTTAGCAAAAAAGATCTCGATTGATTAGCTGATTGATCAAAAAAGAAGTATATTTAAATGTTTTTACGTAAAAATATTTATTTTTAAAATATGTTTTACGTAATGTAAATTTAATATCCGTTCTTTTTAATATTATAATTATAATAATGATAATGATGATGTGATGAGTGATGAGTGATGAGTGATGTATAAAAAAATAATAATAATAATAATTACTGATAATTTTATAGTTTAAAAAAAAATTGTCAAGCGAAATTCGAGATTAAAATTTTCGAAGCTTATAAAATGGGGAAGTGTTTTTTTTTTTTGGTTTGAGAGTCGAGTGAGTTGAATTGAGAGAGATTATATATCTTTTCTCAAATAATTTTTGCTTGATAATAATTTTTCTTATTTGCTTAAAATTTTTAATTTAAAAAATTATTTTTTTTTTTTTTAGCCGAGAGAAAGAGAGGAAAAAAAGGATATGGGGGAAAAATGAGATGTTTACGTGTTTATATATATTTAATTTAATTTATAAAAAAAAAAAAATAATTTATAAATATAAATTCCATAATATAATTTTACCTAAATCAGTGTTTGTGGCGTAAAGTTAAAACAAAAAAATAGAATAAAATTTTTAAATAAATAGAATTTACCACAACAAAATAATTATATATATAGTATATAATAATTTTCTCTGTGTTGCAAGAATAATTTATATGTATTTGTATAGCTTATATAGTTTATTTTTTTTTTTTATTAGATTTTTATTATTAATTTATTTTTTTAGTAGTACACCACGGAGGCCATAGCCCTTTATTAATTTTTATTAATTCGAATATATTTACTACATAAATACATAAATAAACAGGCATCCATTACCTAATTATTTATATTTATATGAGAACTTGGCTATTACTAAATTCCCCCCAAATTCAAAGCGTTAAAATACATTATTAATATAGTTCGACGGAAATTAATAATATATTATATTGTAAATTTAATTTTAATTCCAACAAGTGTACAACTAGGTAATAGGTGATACAAAATAGTAATACGATGTAGTAAGACGATAAATACAATAATTCTCTCGTCTCGATACATATTTTTAATATTCATTAATATTTATTATACTGCATATAATACGTATACGTTAATTTGTACTTATACATCATCTTTTTATTGTAACCTGTTCTCCATTTGTTTGTGTTATGATGAAAAGATGATAAAGGCTGCCATTAGTAATTATAAAAAATAACTGGTACAGGTACAGCTCCTATGTCCTCTATGCCTCCTATGCGTATTGTAAATAATAAATGAATAATAAACACAATTAAACTAAAATAGACAACCAAGGAATAAAGGTAATGGGACAATACGTAAATCATCCAACAGTACGACAAATACAAAATAACTGACAGTAATTACAATCAATTATAGTAACTTTTTGAAAAGACCAAATTAAGTATGGTAAGGAAATATATATCAGCTAATAGAAACTTGAACCATGAACCCAGTTGTAAACTGTATCATTGTTACACAAGGAATAAAGATGATCTGGAAAAAGAAGAAATAAATCATCAATATTAGCAAGAAAAAAAATTTTTTCATTGTTTCTCGTTTACACTAAATCACATTACGTTAGCTCTCACTTCTCGTTTATTTAATGACAATTATCTGACAAATATTATTACAAATATCTTATTCTATCTATAACATAAAAAAATATTTATTTTAATTTTATTTGGGGGAAAATTTTATTTTTTAGAATTGATTCTTTTCATTGTGCGTACATATATAATTTCCAAATATAATTAATTATCCAAATATATCTTCTTTTCACACACGCCTTACGTGCCGCAGTTTATTACATCATTATATAGAACGCATTACATCTTATTTTGGACTTATATTACTAGTTATTTTGACCAGTTAACTAACTTTATTTTTTACATTAATTTATTATTAATTTGGTATAATTAATGCATAATTTAGTATTTTGATTATACAAAAGTCTCATGCTCGTGTTACATTAATATGAATATCAAATGAAAAGTAAAAAATAATAAATATTATTATAATTACAAAATATACAGTATAATAGTATATATAGTATATAATAGAATAACGAATATAGTATATTATAGTATCTGAATGTGATATCATCCATTTAAAACATATACCTGGAAAACGATATTAAAATCTATTCTTATTTCTAAATAAGGTAAATAATAATTTTTTTTTTTCTACAAATGTCTTCTAGAAAATTTCATTAACGCCACAAAATCCCTTATTTGTTTATTTGTTTATTTGTTTATAATTTTTCTTTAAATTTTTTTCAATTCTTTCATCTATCCGTTGTAACACAAACAGATTGAAAAAATATTAATTTATAATGTAATGAATGTAATGTAAAATTTGTGCTTTATCCCCACTTTTTTTTTTTTATTCGTGTATAAGTATCAAGTAATGGGAGATGTCACAATCACTAATTCAAGGTGAGTTTGTATATACAGAAATATAAGAAATGTTGCATATCAATTTTCCCCGTCGATCACCTTGGTATTATATGTGTATGCGCGTTATTTTCAAGTTATTTTATGTGGAGACGCGCATACAACATTAATTAGAACAATAGTTATTTGATTAATATTATTGGTAGAAGAAAAAAAAATTTGTTTAGAAAAAAAAATATATATATTAAATTAGAAATTATTTTAAAGTAGAAATATATTTTGGAAAAAAAAATAATAATATAAAAAATAATGTTAGAAAACAGAAATTCATTCATACAATCAATATGTATACAGATTTTTTTTTCTCACGCATTGAAAACAAACAATTTGCTTGCATATTCTCACTCCTTTTTTTTTTTTTACTATTTTCATGGTTTTCATTATTTTCGTTATTTTTTATGTCGATTTTCTCCCCTTTTTTTTTCTAAACACTCTCTAATGCTTCTAAATACCTTCTAAATACATATCTTATCTCCTTCTCTTACTTTTCTCTATTCCTCTTTCTCTTAGCTCATTTCCTAGCTCATTCCCTTTCCCCTTCCTCTCCGAGAATTCCATTTATCCACTACTTTGTATGTACTCTACATGCATTATGTATTCAATAAATCAATTCATGCAAATATTGAATAAGTTAAAAATAGTGTTGTTGTGTATAAATATATAAGTAAATTTATTATTACTATATTATTTATTATTATTATTATTATTATTATTATTATTATTATTTTGGATCTAAAAATAATTCATGTACTTTATATTTTGTACATAATGTACATAAATCACATAAATTACATAACAATTTATTTTTGATTTCTATTATCAAAAGAAGTGGTTGTTTTATTATCAACGATACATTGTTAACATTGTTTTACAGGAGAATGGTAAACAGTGGTAAACAATTAAAATTTGTTAATACCCCACATCATCAAATTTGGTACAAACATAAGGTAACATGAAGTACAGGTGCCAAAATATTGAGAACTATTTATATAATACCTTAAAAAGGCTTGGGTTTGGCCAATTCTTTTTGTCATATGTAATTTGGTCATAATTTAAAACGTTGATAAATATGAAATTTAATTGGTCATTCTTTTAATACCATCCATTTTAGAATTTTAGAATTGATTGGATAATCTATATGTCATGTAAATCATGGTTTTTTTATATTTATGAAGTTAAAAAAGTGTTAATTAACGAATTTCATGTTTGAAATTAATTAATTTGTAAGTGAATTTTCAACTTTTTATTAAGGACAGTAACAAAATAAAATAAATTTCAGATTCTGATTCTATATATAAAAATTAGTATATATTTAAAAATCAAGTGTAATAGAATTTAGATTCTGAAGTTTATTTTATTTTATCATAAATATAAATTTATATTCATATTTTTAAAACATGTGTTATAAATTAAAATTAAAAGTGATGCATTAATTTTGGAAGCTATTATTACTATATATTTGATATATTTGATTATCAATCTAATACTTTCTTCCATTTTTAAAATTTGAGTTATAATTTGTTAAATAATAATATATCATATTATGAAATATATGCATTTTTTTTAGATTAATACATTACTACTATTTGAAAAAAATTTGAATAGTCTTTTTCTAAAAACTTATTAAAATTAATATAACATATAAATTAAATATTTTTGTTTAATTGATTAATATTACCATTAAGACTTTGACTTAATATAATATTAATGGATCTATTATAATATATAATATTATTAAGAGTTTGCCTTGTCCTTTTAATTTTTAATAAAATATACAATTCAATACTAATTTTCGAAACAATAGTAATTTAAAAATCAAAAAATTGCCAATACAATCAAGTAGTAAATTTTACAAAATAGTTATTCATAAAAGACAATTTATTTTACAATGAGACAATAAAGAAAACAATCAAAGAAATTTCAGCAAACAATACACACACAGCAAAGAATCAAATTGGTTGTTGACTACCACAAATTTGTTCTGCCTATTTGCAAATATTCTTTGCCATTTTTGTCAAAAAAATTCTTGTTTTTTCTCATTAACCTGTAATAGGCAGGTAAATTTGCAAATAGGCAAATGTAATTTGACATCACTCGGGATTTAATTTAGCGTTTATGAAAGAAACTGAAAAAATTATTTACAGAGCAAATATTATTTATATTGATATTAGACATAGAACATTTTATTTTCAAATTTTGAATTTTTTTACTATGTAATTTGTGTAAATGCGTTACTATGTATAGTTTTTTTTTTTTATAAACAAACGAGGTTATTGGTTAAAAAATAGATATTTTATACATTCTTTAACTTTATAATAAAATAATATCAAAACAATGCGGAAATCTACAACTGGTGCAACTTCTGTTAATGGGAATTCAAAACCCGGGAAGTTAACTTCTGTTAATACCCCAAGAAATACAAAGACTTCACTTTCAACTAGTAATAGTTCTAATAGTTCCACGCGTAAGTCGGCAAGAACACCTTCACCAGGAAAGACTACTTCAAAAAAAACTCTTTCCCCTAATAATATATCTCCGCGTACATCTAGATCTCCTTCTCCTTCTCGTTCTCCTTCTTCTTTAGTAGCATCTGTTTCATCGAAACCAACTCGAGCTGCAGCTTCACCTTCAATTAAAGATGCTATAGCTCAAGCGAGGTTAAGAAAGGCCAATAATAAGTCAAATAAGGCAAATAAGGAGCCTGAGGAATCCGAGGGAGGTTCTAAAGGTTTGAATGTAATTGTCAAACAAGCGAAAACTTCCGGTAATTTTTGGGTCATATTTTTTAAAAGGAATTTTTCAATATCTTTTTATTAACTTTTATTTACAATTTTAATTTTTTACGTATAGGTCGTATCAATATTTCTCATCGATCACTTAAAAATATTCCAGAAGAAGTATGGAGAATGTATGAAGTTGATCCAAAAGCTATCACTATTGATTTTAGTGGTGGTGGTGGTTCTGATGTTTGGTATGAAACTGTTGACCTTGTAAGAATGGTAGCTGCTGATAATCAATTGGAATCAATCGACAAGAGAATTGCAGAATTTATTTCTCTCGCATATATTGATGTAAATTTTAATATTTCTAGAAATGTTTATTATTATTATTATTATTATTATTACTGTTTATTTCAATTATTACAATTATTATTTAGTTTCACAACAATCATTTATCTTCGCTTCCAGACGAATTCGGGGAATTACAAAAATTGGAATTGCTTAATTTATCAGTCAATCAATTCGCAGAACTTCCAAATTGTATAACAAAGTTATCTTCACTTGTTGAATTACAACTTGCTTCCAATAACTTATCAGGAACAATGGATCCTTGTTTTGGAAATTTTTCTAAATTGGAATTACTTGATATTTCATCGAATGAAATAACCGGATTACCAAAAGAATTAAAAAATTTAACGAATTTGCGTAAGTTAAATATTGCAAAGAACAAAATTAAAGAAATTCCAGGTTTTGCTTTAAGCAATATGAAAAATTTGGAAGAACTTGAAGCCAGTGAGAATCAATTGAATATAGTTTTTTCTGGACTTAATGGTCAAACAATTTTCTTGCCAGCATTGAAAAGATTGGATGTTAGACAGAATAAATTGAGAGTTTTCGATGAATCACAAGATTCCACAGTTTTTCATCCTATGGTTAAATTACCAAAATTGAAAGAACTTCTTATTTCACTTAATCGAATTGAATCTTTTGGTCCATTGTTTCATAATACATTGGAACTTGAAATCCTTGATATTGGAGATAATAACTTAAAAGAAATACCGGAAGGATTAATTGCTTTAAAGGGATTGAAACGTTTAGATTTAAGTAATAATGATCTTAAGATATTACCGGCTGAATTAGGAATGTTGAAAACTTTAGATTTCTTGGGTTGGGAAGGAAATCCTTTAAGAAATGCACCAAAAGGTCTAAAGTCTACAGCAGCATTATTGAAAACTTTAAGGGATCGATTAACTACCGTTGGTAAATATTAAACCTCAATAATAATATACACACACATTTATATATATATATATAAAACTAAATTTTATTTCTTTACATTAGACTTTGAAAACATGGAAGGACCAACAATTCCCGAGAGTAGTACTTCAGTAATGCTATCAGCAAATCATGTACGTGAAGAAGAGGAAGGGAAAATTTATGGAGAAATGGGAAAGATTAGCCAACAAGGTATCAAATCAAGGACTTTAGATCTTGCCAGGAAAAATTTGACAAATTTACCAGAAGATGACATGAATGCACTTCCATTTGAACCTTCGACAGTATTACTTGGATATAATTTATTCCAATCAATTCCAATTGGATTTAGAATATTTCAAAATTCTATTAAATATTTTCAATTTGATCATAATAAATTTATTGAATTTCCTATGTTTGAAGATAAATCAATAATTTTTCCAAATGTTGATAGATTGGATTTATCAGCAAATCAGATTACTTCATTACCAGATAGTTCACAATCGACACCATTTCCTAATTTACAAGTTCTTAATGTCAATAATTGTCGTATTACGGCATTACCGGAGAAACTTCCATTTCCGCATTTAAAAACATTTCTTGTTACATCAAACGCACTTACAGCAATTACGCCTTCAACATTTGAGAATATGGAAGTAATTGATATTTCTAATAATAATATTGGTTTTTTACCACCAGGATTGGGTAATATTACAACAATTAAAACACTACTGGTTGAAGGAAATTCATTTCGAGTTCCAAGGTATACAATTGTGCAAGCAGGCACAGCAGCAATTATGGAACATTTACGAGGAAGAATTCCAAGATCTTAAAAGATTTTATTCATCATATTTGATTTATTTATTTAAATTATTTCTATTTATTTATATAATTTGTTATCATTGCATATCATTTGTGTATTCATACATTTATTTATTTTATTTTGCATTAGAAAATTTTTTATCATATTTATTTATTTTCTTTTTTCCACAAACATTATAATAAATATTATTTTTTATTTAGAATAAAAATAAATAAAATTTTATAAAAAATTGATTTCTCATTAAAACAAAAAAAAAAAAACTTTTGTTTTTCGTTAACCGAACACATTTTATTATATATTATATTTATTTACACATGGTAAATATTAATTATTAATACTTTTTCATGTAGATATTAATTATTAATATTTTTTTGAATATATTTATTACTATTCACAATGTAAGAATGGTATTATTTACAATACGAAAATGACGAAAATATTACAATTCACGTTCAAAAATTTCTTTATCTTCTCTCTTTCCCGACATTGCGGTAAGTTTAGTACCAACTAAATCTTTTGCCCATTTCATTTGTCTTAATGTTTTGCGACGACGGAATTCATTTATTCGTTTCTCTCCGGGCATTTCAATATCGTAAATTTCCCCATTTGGTTCACCTCTCTCCTCGATATCAAGATCACCATTTATTTCGTGCAAGTTTTTAAATGGATTTTGATATAATACACTTTCATTTGCTCCTGTTAACGTATGTTTTATATTTCCCTCATGCGAAATAGATAATCCAGATTGGAAATAAACTTTTAATCTTAAATGTCCTTTAAGTTCTCCGTCAATTCGAAAATCACATGGTAAAGGAAAATCGCCTGATGAAATGTCGTTTTCTTCAAATTCCTCTGGTCCTGCACAGGCATTTTGCTCAGATGGACCTGCACCTTCACCTAACACAGATAAATTGTGTGATGCTTCATCCGAGTGCGAATGATTTCCTCCCACTTTTACATCAGTTAAGCCTGAAAATATTGGTATTTCAACCTCCGCTTCACGACAATCAAGAATATCTCTCAACCATAAAATAGCAGTTCCAATGGTATACATTATTCCAAATAGTTTCTTTTGCTTCAAACGAATTATGAGAGCAGTTCGATGACGTCTAAGAACTCCAAATCGAATTTGTTTCTCACCATCCGCTTCATTAAGCCACGTTGGTGGATTTGAATTCGATATGGAAGTTGTTTGTTTAAATTCAGCTCCACTCAATGTAAGCGTCAAAAATATATTACTATCTATAAAAAGTGTTATTTAAATGTTTAATGAATAATTTAATAAATTTTAAAATTTTGTTAATTCTTACTTGCTAAATTCATATCCAAGCCTAAAGCCACGATAGAATGGATCATTAAAGTGCCAACTTCATATCCCTTTTCTTTAGGAGATAATTTCATGGACAAGGTCTTATAGAAGAAAGACAACCTCACTTTTCCACATCCAATTCCGTGACGTAATGTGAACCATTTCGAACATTCCTTCTTTTCATTCTTTTCAAAAAGTTCCTTCAGTGTCAATGTAACAATTCCAATAACAGGATCATCTAAATTTAAAAATTTATTATGAATTTGAAATATATAAAATTAAGAATATTTTCTGTTTTAAATTAATTACATTCAAGATCCTTTTGGTCTTTTATTACAACGCGTACAATGGCAGTCCTCCAATCTCGAACAAATTGTTCGGTCAATGCGTTCCAATAAGGTGAGTTACTATTATAATATATATATAATTAGCTTATTGATTATTAATTGATATCTGAAGGATTTAGTAGATAGATAAAAAAATTTTAATTTACTTGTTTAATTTTACCCTAGTTTGAAAAACTATGATAAAATATGATAAAATAAATTAGTAAAGAAAAGTATATAATGTATTAATAATGATAAAATATAATCATAATCAATATGATAATAACATACCTTGACTGTCATTGATATATACGACTGCATAAGGATTGGGATTTTTCGAACTCTTATGATTGTCCGACTTATTTTCACTATAAGGAGGGGCAGTGATTTGAAGACTCATGGCTTGGTGAATTTGGAGACCAAGGATTCCCGCTAAAAAAATTTTTTTTTTAAAAAAGAAATTTTCATATGAATTACATAAATAAGTATTAAGAATAATTTTGTAGATAAAAAATGAATATTAACAATAAAAATATTCTTACAGGTCTGTGAAGAAGAAGGTTTAACATCATTTGGCAATTTCGGATAGTAAGAAAGTAGGAAGCGTAATTTTCCGCGCGATTCTCCACCATTAGGTTTTGAATGAATATCCACATAGCTAAAAAAAAATATATTTTTTAAAATCTGTCCTTCCATTATCTAATTTATATTTAACATACCCGTCATGTATTTTCTTTTCTTCTTTGCCATCACCAATGGCGTTTTTAATGTCAATCCAATAAGCTCCTATTGAATCATTCTGAGTAAATCGATCCCAATCCATTACGTTCAATTTAAGTTTTACATGTTCGTCAACGATATCAAGTTGAGGGATCTTAATAAATAATGTTTCGGACCACACAGGATTGGCACAATTTTCTATCACTCGAGTAGATGGATGTGACATGTGTGGTGAAGGATCAAGTGAAACCAATACGTATGGATCATTTTCGCCTAATTAGTATTTTAAAGGGAAAAAATATAAGAATATTCTTTTTTTCGTATAATCGAGGTTCAATGATAAATGGGATATTTATAAATACCAGAGGCGTCCACCTTGTTCAAATATTTAGCTTGAAGGACGTCAACTTTCATAATACCAATGGCTTGCGTATCATGAAGCAAACCATCGCCCACCAAAAATTGGGCCAAATCTACGTCAATGTATTTTGGATATGTGAATTCTTCCAAAACAGTATGCACAGTATTACGCATAAATTGTTTAAAAATAGGGAACTGTGCAATGTTCATTGAAATTAATGGCATCACTCCAACTTCATAATCAGGAAAATTTAAGAAACTAAACCTTCCTGCGGTTACGAATGGCGTAGAACCAGTAATTTTTATTTCGAAGTGAACTGATGCCTTGAGTCCGGTAAGCTCAACTTTATTTTATTATATGAAAATAACATCAATTAATTATTTGTGAATGTTCGAGACAATCAAATAATCATAAAATTCATAAAATTCATAAAATTCATAAAATTTATAAAATATTTTCTTAAAGTCTAACCTTTAAGTGGGATTATTGCTGAAATTCCTGATTTAATCCATGCGAGAATATGTGGTGGTGCATCGTTAATTGTACTTGTTGAAGATTTGGCGCGGAATGAAATTGTTGTTTCACCAACCTTTTGTCACATGAAAACATGTAAAAAAATTTTTAGTTCATAAAGTTCGAAAACGTGAACTTACTTAACTTACTTAATATACATATTTTTATATTTACCACTATATCTTCGTCGTCTTCAGTTTCTCGTCTTGCCAATATTTTAATACTATATGCATAAATTTTAGTTAAATTAGTTATAGGATCTTTTAAAGTCGGAGCAAAAAAAATCCCATACTTTTCGATTCGAGGAGCAATGAGTCCAATTTCGAATTCCCCAATATCGGTTGCTCGCTATATTTAAAGATAAGTTAGATTAAGAATTAAGGAATTAATTAAAAAATAAGGTCTTATGCTATGAATAATTACCACAATAGCTGGGGCGCAACCAGACATTGCATCTTCAATCATATCGCGAAGCCCGCACAAAAGAACTGGATCAAATATTCTCCAAACTTGTTGAAGTAAATAGTTCAACCTAAATCGATAAAAAATAATAAAAATAAATGAGAATTAATAATAATATACTAAAATAAAATAGAAATTAATTTATATGTAACACTTACCATTCAACCGTTTCGCCTTCATCCGTCTTTAACTAATAATGGGGAAAATAATAACTTTAAGTGATAAATATCGGAGATTACAGCATAGCATTTCGTGAAATGTCATTTCAAAATAGTTACTTTATCTTCTGCAATTTCCCTTCTGATCTCCCAACGAAGTCGTTCTGTATTATCTTTAACCATGTTAAAGTACCACATTACCGCTTGATAGAGTATAAAAATGATCCAGACGAAAGTGAATCCAAAATATCCAATTAAATATGAGGCAATTGATACCATGAAAAATAATAATGCAAATTCATAATTGATGCGTTGAAATCCATGGATTATTTGCGCTGAGGTTTGATCATTATTTTCATTATTTTCATTATTTGATTGATCCTCTGTGTGCTGTTCTAGACGTTTATTACGTTTATTATTCGTATGTTCGCTTCCACTAGCAAAAGTGTGGGTATAAAAAGGCTCCTTTCTCAATCTTTGTTCTTTGGGGTTGACAATTCCGTTTTGCATTTCGAATTCTTCGGTAAAAAGTGTTTCGTCGGAACTTGAAGAACCTGTTCCCTGGTTTTTATCCTTCATTTCTGAATTATTTTTATTGTTAATAATAGTATGTGAGGCCATATTTTTATCTTTTGTTATTTTTAGAATACTTCCATTTTATGGGGTTGATAAAATTTGGCAGATATTTGTCTTGTTTTTTCAAGAAAAGTTATTCCTTTTTAGGATTAGCACTTTCAATTTACAAATCAGATCCTCAAAGGATAACATTTGCGTCATTATTTAATAGTTTGTTGTAATGTGACGTAACCGAACTTTCGTTCGGCCCCTCGGGAAGATTTTTTTTCATGTAAATTTTTGCTTTAATAAAATTGATAAAATATTTTATTCCTAAAAAGAAAGGGTAAACTCGTACGATATAAATTCTTTTTAAAGAAAGATTTTCATTAATTTTTTAAAGTTATATTTATTATTTTTATTATTAGAGAATATTTCTTAGATAGATGGATATTAAATAAAACAAATTCTTTTAATTTAATAAAATAAATTTGGTTATTAAAGATAATAAAAGTTCAAAGCGCGAAAAATTAAGTCCAACCAAGGCGCGTAATTATTTTTCATACAAGGAACGTAATTATATATCATATCACCCAATCAAATTCGGAAGGGACACGGGATAAGAATCTATACCTGAAACAGAAGAGAATTTTTATTCTCCGAATTTTTTAAAAAAAAATCTTTCGCGCGTGTGTACACAAGACAAAAAGAGATTAATTTTTATATATCACATGATTAATTATGAAAATTCAGTACAAAATTTTGGAATCATCAAAAATGAAATTTGAAATCAAATCATTAAATCAATTAAACAAATTAAATATAAATTTTTCTTTTATTAAAATAAAATTTTTGTACTTGAATTATTATGATTAACGATAACGACGTAAAGAAAGTGTATTGCGGCGACGCCAATTAGAACGACGACCAGCACCTTTAGTCTTATTGAAACGATGACCTTTACCTAAACCACGATTTTTCTTTCCAATACTAGTTAAACCACGACATTCACGATGTTTATGTTTAGTTGAAACAATCCAATTAATTTTTGGATCACGACGAATAACCTTATGATTAGGATCAACAAGAATTACTTCATAATATTTATAAGTTGAATCCTATAAAAAAAATATTAATATAATATAAAGATTCATATTAAAAAGATATTATAAATAAATAAATAAATAAATATATATATATATATAACAGAAGAAAAGTTAATAATTAATTAATGAAATTTACTTGATTAATCCAATATGAATTTAAAACTCGTAAATTACTACATCTACGACCAACACGTTCTTCAGCAGTTGCTTTGAGAGAACGTTGATATTTGAGTTGATTAACACCTTGATTAGTTGGTTTACCATATGTAGCACCTTTAGGTACTGGTCTCTTACGACCACCACGACGTACACGGATACGATAAATAACATATCCTTGTTTGGCCTTAAAAAGTATCATGAAAATAAAATTTTCATATTTAACAACAATAATGATGTGCAATAACTTAATAACAATAATGATGAACGATAATGTATAGAATATAAATATACCTTGTATCCCAATCTTCGAGCTTTATCAGGACGAGAAGGACGAGAAGCTCGATGGATAACATTCAATTGTCTAAGAGATCATTCCCCCAAAATTATATATATATATATGTATATATATATACATATACATTTTTATATATATGTATATATGTAAAAAGAATAGAAAAGAAAAAACATACCATAGTGGAGAAGGGATGTATTTTAATAAATGTACTTATTATTATTTTTTTTGGTTCATTGGCAATGAAAAAAATTTTTTATGTTTTATTTTTTGTACATCCCAAGTAATTATTATTATTATAAAAATATTTTATTTCATGCCTAATTAAATATATACACATAAGTGTGTGTGTGTATATATTATATTTATTATATTTATTATATTCCTGGAGGAATAATTGACCTGAGGAGAAAGGGTGATAATAAAAGGGAAATAAGGGAATGAGTAGACTACCTGTACTCCCAACATCTTACGCGAAGTAAGAAACGAAGGACATCAGACTGCTTCTTCTTGTAAAGTTCCTCGAGATACTTGTACGCTAAAAGAAAAAGATCGATGATTATTATTTTTATTTATTTATTATTTAATTTATTATTATTATTACTATTATTATTATTATTATTATTATTATTATTATTATTTATTATTATTATTATTTATTATTATAAAAGATGATTAATAATTAACAGAACTTACCACCCATGAGTTATATATTCTTGAACTAAATAAACTAAATAATAATAATTATTATTCAAAAATAATTTTTTTTTAATCAGTAAGAGTAACTTGGAAAAAAATTAGATTTGAATATCATCATCAAAAATTGTCTTGACTTCCCAAAACTTGGGCTTAAAAATCAAAACTTAAAAAATTCATAAATTCATCCACCCAATTTAATCGAATTTTATTAAAATTTCTTGAATTTTTAGAATAAAATTTAAAAAAAAAACTTCTCGATATCTTCATATTTTTATATTTAAATAAAATATATATATATATATATAATTTTTACCTCAAGATTAAGCAGTGATAATAATAAAAAAAAATTTGTAGTTTACGAGAAAATTTTTATGATTGATTGATTGTTTGTGCAACTTCCAAAATTAAATGACTGGTGAGATAGAAGATCAGCATTATATATAAAAGGTTGACTTTTTACAGTAGCACAAACAATACAATATTGTGATTAACTACTAATTGGAATATCGCGTACTGTATTACTCGTATTACTCGTTCCCTTCATTTGAAAATTTTCAAGTTTTAAAAATTTATACAAGTTTAAAACTGGTTTTCCCTCGCTTTTTCCAATTTTCTTATCGAGATCTTTATCGTCCCTTCATAACCATGAGCTTTTGGCTTGGGTGGGTTATAAAACCTCTTTACTTAACAGGATGGAATGATCTTTAATCTTTATAATCTTTAAGTAGTTTTCATAGTTAATCTATAAATTTTTTCTTTTATTATTTGTTTTATTATTTGTTTTAAGTAAAAAGAATCCAAAAAGCAGTCGTTCTAGAACAAGTCCTACTTCACGACCTTTATTCCTTTCACCCCCTTTTATTGAAGCTTCATTGGTAGAAGGAAGTTTCAAAAAATTTGTTGTCTTGCCAAAATATGTAGATGAAGATGAATGGCTGGCAGTAAATGGTAAATATATTGATTTTTCAAACCTATTTTTCATAATATACTAATCCATATTTTTTTATATTTTTATATTTTTATATTTATACCTATATATATATATATATATATTTTTGATTCAAATATTTCCAGTGTTTGAATTCTTCAATTATTTAAATATGTTTTATGGAACTGTTACGGATTTCTGTACAGCCATGAACTGTTCTACAATGAGCGCTGGCCCTGGGTAAGATAAGTACCATGAGTACTATGTGTGTTCAGCTTTATTCTTAAAGAATTTTTTTGTAAATTTTCTCTTTATTACTGTAAACACATATTCAAAACATTTAATGTTAGATTCGAGCCATATACTTGGACAGATCAAAATCAAAAGAAAAGTACAAAATTACCAGCTCCAACTTACATAGATTATGTGATGACAATGGTTCAAAATTTAATTAATGATGAAAATGTTTTCCCTACAAAGGCTGGTAAGTAAATGAAACATATTTACTGTGCTTGAATGGGAAATACTTTTAAGATTTTAATTTATGTTTTATATTTATTTTCAAAAGGTCGAGAATTTCCAAAAGATTTTCAACAAACTGTTAGATTAATATTTAAACAATGTTTTAGAGTGTTTGCTCATATTTATTATCATCATTATGAACAACTTTTGCATCTTCGTGAAGAAAAGCATTTCAATTCTTTATTTGCACATTTTATTTCTTTTGCCAAAGAATTTAGTTTATTGCCAGATAAAAAAGAATTAGCTCCTTTGGAAGAATTAATAAGTTATATGGAAAGTAAGGGTAGAATTTGTTAGTTTGTTTATACTTTAAATGTATTCACTTTTTTTTTTTTTTATTTAGAATTTTTTTTTTTTTAGATTATATTATTGGTTTCATATATCTCATTAATTTTATATGTGTTATATGTAACCAATTTATTAATATATAAGTTAGAAATCTTTAAAGATTATTGAAAATTATAAAAATTTAATTGTTCTATCTATCAAATAATTTCATTTTAAAATCTTATAATTGAATTTTTGATGATTAATTTTATTTTTTCATTGACTTCGACCTTGACCAGGTTGAGGACCACTACCAGGAGGTGGACGCATTTGAGGTGGAGGTCGAAATCCTTGAGGAGGTGCTTGACCAGGTACAGGAAAACTTGTAAAAAAAAATATATTAAAATATATTAATATGTATTAATATATATTACATATGGATACATTGTATATAAAATATGAATAAAGAAATATTTCTTAATGTTCTTAATGTTGATAATGTTCTTAAATTCTTACTTGGGTGGCATACCGCGTCCTCCAGTTTGAAATGGCGGAGGTCCACCAGGCTAATTAATAAAAACAAATAGTAATAATTAATAATAATAATATAATAATAATAATAATAATCAATATTATAATAATAATATAATAATAATCACCATTCCCATTGGAGGTGGTCTTATTCCTGGAGGAGGAGCACCACCTCTAAAAGCTGGAGGAATTCCTCCCATTGGTTGCATTCCTGGTGGAGGTCCCATGTTACCTCTAAAACCCGGTGGCATTCCTCCCATAACAGGTGGCATACCAGGTCTTGGTGCCATACCTGGAGGCATTCCTGGGGGCATTTGACCAGGGATTTGTGGACGACCATATGATATAGGAGCAGCCGCAGCAGCAGGAGCTCCTCCTCTCGGTTGCATCATTCCAGGTGCAGGTCCACCTACACCACGAACTGGACCAGTAAGACCTATCAATCAATCAAAAGATATTAAAATTAAAATAGATTAAAGAATATTAAAATAAAGAATAAACTAAGAATAAAACGAATTATTACTTGCTGGTGCAACACCAGGTGGTGCTACTGGCAAACCTCTTCCAGCTGGACGACCTATTCCTGGACCACCTGGCAACTAAAGAATTATATAATTTGTTAATGTACATATTTATTTATTTATTTATTTATTTATTTATTCATTTATTATTTATTTATTTAAAGAAAAAATGACATTGAACAAGAATTTCAAAATAAATAATTTACTTGTGCAAGCTTTGTTTTGGAATCATCAGTAGTTGGGGGTGGAGGACCATCTACACTTAAACTGACGATGGTTTCACCTCTTAGAATAACCAATCCTAATGTTCTTTTTTCTTCATGATCTGGTTGCCCTTGAGGAATTTTCGATCCACTTTTTGGTTTGATCTTTCTAAATTCTTCACAATCCGCTAAAACAAGATTCATGTGTTTATCAAAGGCAAGCATTTGTCCTGTCAATACACGCGAATCCGCAAGAGTTATGCGGAGACGATAATTTATTAGATTCAGCATTTTGGAATTTTTTGAGATCGACTAAAAATATAAATTAATAGGTAAATAAAAATGTGAAAATTAATTATTTTAATCGTTTCATTGCCCATTGAAGTAAGTAGCATAACGTAGCAATAATATTAAAATAACATTAAAGCAACATTAAAGTAAATGAAAACTTGCATAACATAACGACAAAAAAATCTTCGATCCATAATACACATATCAGAAAATAAACACAAAATAAACGCGATAAAAATTTCGCTAAAAAGTTAACATGTTTCCAAAATTGTAGTTTACACATAATATATTACCATTTTGACCAAATTTATTCACAAAGGGTCGCGTTTTCTTTAAAGTGGAAAAAAACGGTTCGTTAAATGACATTTGGAATACATGGAATACATAATACGCAGTGAAGGTATACGATATGATTGGCCAATTTTCATTGTCACGTTTCATTGTCATCATGTGTATCACTACAACGCGACAAAAATATTCGATAACTTCGCCTTTCTCTCTCTAGCATACTGGAATCGTGACTCAAACTCGAGAGGAGGCTTAGCGATCGGGACATTAATTTTATCAACGAAAATCTGGATATACTAAAAGAGAAGCGTATCGAAACCTAGGTATCCATCTTAATAATATGCTGAGATGAAGTCAGTCCTTTTTTATCATAGGTGTGATTCGTTCACACAAGAAAACTTATGTTCTTGCCCGAAGTGGAGAAGCATGATGTGTCTGGGCCTTTGGGTCCCGTTATAACATGTGTGAGCAGTCAATTAGGTTATCTATAATGAACTAACTCTTTATTATCTCACCGAGAACTGTGATAATGATTCCGCAAAATGATTTATTATGGAAAAACCTTCTCACGAAACTAGAAACAATTCACTTGCTATTTCAGATCGAGTACATAAAGTATTTATTGTTTTTGACATTACTAATATATTTAATATGATACAGTGTTTACAATTTCCTCTTAAATGGTTTTTGTTAGCGTGAAATAAAAATAAAAGTATTGCTATACAAGTAAAAATTGGACAAGCTGAAGAGCAAATATTGGAAAAAGATCAAAAAAAAAAAAAAAATAAAGCTAACATAAATAAAAGTTCCTCAAAAGTTGAAGAAAAGGTGATCCCAGTCAAGAAGACTTCATATTTTAGGTTAATTCCAATAATCAAAATAATTATTTATTTGGATTCATTAATATATTTGAATTTATGCCTCATATTTATTTGTATCAATAAAGCTGGCCCGGTGGCTGATTTATCATAAATAATTGTGTTTACTTTCTGCATGTATATTTCGGGATTTAATACGTTGTATAGATACTAATCCACATATTTAATCGAGAATTTTCTTGATAAAAGTGATCGGCGTTACAAATTGTAACGCGTACGTGTTTTTTTATTTCAAAGATCTGAATAAATCATTATCTATAAGAATATCACACATCATGATTCTGTTTTTATATAGAAGAAAAATCGAAAAAATATTTTCGGTATATACTCAGTAAAATAAATAATTGTGACATCAATCTTATATAGAATCACAACCCCTTCCTCTCCCACGTCCTCTTCCTCTTTCTCTAGTGTTCACTGTTATTAACGTTATTAAATTTTTCCTTTAATTCTTTTGATATAAATTTGGCAAATGTAACAATTTGGGCGTAAAGCCAGTAGGATATTTCGAAAACGGGTTTATAATGTGTTTTTGTTTTTTTTTCGAATTTCTGGAAACATTTGATCTTTTTAATAAGATTATATCTCAAACAAAGAAGTGTACGAATTAATCTGAGTGAGTGGTTGGAATTGTAAGATTGGAAATTGTGTAAAGGGCGAGTATAGATATAAACCATATATCATTTGCCCCATCTCAATGGTATCTTTTGTAATAAATAATAAATAATAAGAATGTTAAAAATAAATAATACTTTATATTAAAATAATCTAAATAACTTACCGTGTCCTTGAGCTAAAAAAAAAACACCTAAAGAGTTACAAACTTCTATTTTTGGAAGATCAGTTTTAATAAGTTTTTGACGATCATCGTTATATTTGTCTGGATCTGCGGACACCTCAAGGTATTTGACGTTCACATGAGAAAAATCTAATAAAATTAATATAACTAAAAGTCATAAAAAACATATATGACAGAACATGCGCGGTCCATGACCTTTTAAGTTGTATTTACAGTAACTCGATCCATTTGAAATACTTTAAATAATGTGTATGTCAGGATAAACTAATTCATCATACTCTTTTATCGGAATTGGTAGGGCGTGAGACAAATATTTGAACTTTGTACTTAGTCCGTTCAAATTTTTAATTTATTTTTCCATTTTTAAAATAACCTCATCCTCGATTTGGATTTTTTTTTTTTACAACTACATCATCGTCATCCTCTTTATCATCTGGATATTCTTCAATAATCTGATCAAATAAAGATAGATATTGAAGTACATTCTTACTTGGAAGATCATCTATCAAATAATAATTTTAATTCATCTTCATTCAAAAGATCATGCGTTTGGCTTAATATTTCTCTATTCCCCAGATCGATTACATAATATCCTGCTCCTGCTTCACGGGTATGCCATACTGCTTTGATCTTATCATAATACCCTGGAAATTGGACATCTTTAAAAGTATTGGAAGTTTCGGTAACCGAGCTCAACATGTATCTTTTCCAGCAAACTCTTCTTTATTTTCACCAGTTTTAATATGTACCACAGGTCGAAGTAGAAAAAAAGTAAGATAATGTTTTTGTGTTATATACAGGCAACATTCTTGTACTAACCTTCTTACCCCCTGATGAGAAAATGAATTGGCACCATTAAGAACATGTTTGGATGTAGATGGAAAATCAACAAGAAAAGATTTTCTGAGGAGATCTTCAACATTACGTTTCCCGACTTCATCTAGAAGTTCCAAGAATGCGAGTGCACTTCACTGTCAACTATTTACGCCAAACAAAACAGTACTCATTCTTACCATTTTGTACAGTGCCTTTGTTTATCAATCCTTCATCATTTCTACCTAAGTCGCTATCCTAAAAATATTGAAATACAATGAGTTTCTTTTTAGATAAGCTCTTTATTATAACTAAAAACGCACATATACCTTCTCCAATATCGCATTTCTTTATTTCGATTGTAATGTATTCAAATTTTTACTTCGATCCAGAACGTAATTTAACTAGCAAAAAAAATCTATTAGCTGAAAATAAGATGTTGGTAGCAAGCAAAAGTTAAAAAAAAATCCTACATCTTCAGATTCAATTTGGATCAACTTCAGTTCATTATGAGTTTTGGAATATTTAATATCTTGACGTAAATTTTGAATCCTGCTATCATCCCAGAATTTCCTGACATCCAAAGAATATTTAATATTCTTAAATATAAAAATATAATAATTAATAACAATCCTTAATATCCAGGAAAAAGCATTAAATAATGAGGCAAAGTTGACGAACTAACAAGGTACAACACTGGGTGTCTCAAGGACCACCAATGTGTCACAGCAATAACTCAAGATCTGCCAAAAGCCAACTGACTCAAGGACAATTGTACCCAAAGTGCGGAACTCAAGGATCCATAAAATGCTACTAGGGCGTGTTCTTGACCTGTCAACTGAGCCTAACCATGAAACATACCTTCCAATTATCAAATACTTCCTTTGCTTTCTGTGTATGAATGTCGTTTTTTTCATTCTTGAGGATGTTCTTAAGTGAATACTTAAATGTACCGTGTTCTTGAGCGCAATCTTTTAAGGTCGTGTTATTTGATGTCCATTTTTAAAAAACTTATAAGAGACCACCTAGATCGTTAACGTGAAAGCGTCAATTCGTGATACGTGACTTAAATGTAAATCAGTATTAAGATTATCTGGTGACAAGGACGTGTGGTATTCGATATATTTTGTTAAAGCCAAGTTTGCTCACATGATACTTTTAAGGCTTGATTGGTTCATATCAGTCAAACGACATATGCATGTCTAGTGATTTAATTATAGAGATCGGCGATCTGCATCTTATAGTAAAATTAATAATGTACAAATTTAATAAACTTAATCTTGAAGTCAAAATATATTAAATTTTAAAAATATAAGAAGCAAAAATTAAATTGGAAAAATATTTTTATAATCAAAATTTGCCCTTTGACTTTGTTGACCTTTTAGAAAATGGTGTTCAAATATTAAATGAATATTTTAAAAATAGCTTAATCAAGAAAAGTGATAATATAAATGAAAATAATAATATTTAAATGATAATGACTTAGAATTATTTGTTTTTAATCAAGAAAAATATAATAGAGCATATAAGAAACTTAAAAAAACAATTAAATAATAATGATAATGATAATTTTAATTTATTAGAAAATATAGAAACTATATCAATTAATTTAATAAAGTAACTCACAAAATAATATATCATTTTAAAAATAATTTCAAATTAAAATATATTAACAAATATAAATACAATAATAATAAAATTATATTTATTAAATAATCATAATTCTAAAATTTCTATTAATATAAGATTTATTAAAAGTTAATTAAAAAATTTTAAAAATATATTTATTTATTTAAAATTTTTATAGTACATTACATATGTGATTTTTCTATAAATTCTATATTTTTTTGATGGTAGGTTGTGAGCCCATCTCATATGAGTTAGTCCAAGTCTCATCTTTTCAAATAAACATTAGAATAAGTTGTGTATTTTATATTATGTAATCTTATATAATGTAAAAAACTTTTTCTTTTTCTAATTAATAAATTTGAGATAAGACCTCGCTAAAAATAAAAAAAAATAAAAATAAAATAAATTCTATATTTTTTTATTTATTTTTAAAAAAAAACAAATATATATATATATTAATTGTTTACTATATATTATCACCTTGTATATCCTCTTCTTGCTTTAATCACATCTTATATTTGTTGTAATATTAATTCAATTAACTTTTTTAAAATATCAAGATCAATTCCATTCTATATATCTTGTATTTCTTCCCATAACTTATACTGGTTAAAATTTTATAAATACTATACCTATCAGATACTCGATAGGTATAGTATTTATAAATTTTTAACTAGTATTATTTTTCTTTAAGATTTTTACAGAAAATTTTCTCAAAGGTCTATTTATCTCATCTCACAAATATTTAATAGAATTTAAATCAAATAATTATGTAGATCAATTAAGTACCTTCACATCATTTTCTTCAAACTAATCTTTAGTAAGTTTTATAATGCATTTGGAATTATTGTCTTACTGAAAAATAATATCTTTCTTATTTAAATTATATTAAGAAATAATTTCTAAAAAATCTTTTTCAAGTATTTTTCAATAAAAGTCACTATCTATATCTCCATCAATTCTGTAAAGATTTTTAACACCAAGTGATATAAAACAATTCCAAACCATAATATTATTACTTCAAATTTTACTATAAGTTTGATTTAATTATTTCTTAATGATTTTTTTATTCTCTTCTGTAACAAACTTGATTATGTTTATTATGAGTTGAATTAATAAATTATTTTTATCAAGAAATAACAAGAAAATAAATGAAATACTGGTTTAAACAGAAAACAATTTTCAGATTTTCTTTATTAAGATTTTATTTAATTTATAATCAATAAATAATAATCTAAGATTTAGAGATAAAATCTAGATTAATATAAAATATCAAAATAAAATAAAATGATTTATAATATAATAATAATAAATTATAAAATAATAAAATAATAAAATAAAATAAAAATTATAGTACTAATTAAATAAACAAAAATAAATAAAAATAAAAATATTACATTTTTTTTCCTTAAAATTTAACATTTACATTAATTTTCAAATTTATTTAATAATTTTGTTATATTCATTAAATTTTTCTTAGATTCTCAAGTTACATTATATAAAAGATAACCTTTCTATTTAATTAAATAAAATAATTTTTGTCAAATTATCTTTTTATCTAGAATATTTTTAATTTCATATTTCTTTTTTTAAATTTTAAGAATTGTTTCTGGTTGTAATAAGATTTTGTAATTAAATTTATTAAATTATTTTCATATAATTTTAACATTAACATATAAAATATAGGATGTGTTTTTAAAATAGGAAATAATTTTAACTTGTATACAGTTGGTAAAATAATTTGTTTAATTATATAAGATCCCATATTTAGAAAAAAATTTCTTAATTGAATAGTTAAATTAGATAAGATCTATTATATTAATAATATTTACTATTATTTTATTACCTTTTTTGAAACTTAATTTATATCTATATTTATTAATATGATTTTTTGTCATTCTACAAATTGTCTTAAATAATTTTAATAATTTTATTTCACTTTAATAATAAAATATCAATTGCAGTAACATGGGTAGATTCACTAGTAGAAGAAAGAAAGAGGTATTAAGATATTGACCATTATCTACTTCAAGTAAAATAAATTTAGTAAAAAGATTTTGTGAATTATTATATATAAACTCAACTGCAAATAATAATTCATTTCAATTGTTTTGTTAATAATTGGTATATGCTTTTAAAATTTCTTCCAAGATTCGATTCATTCATTTGTATTATCTATTAGTCTAAAGATGATAAGCGATATACATTGCAAGTTGAGTTTCAATCTTTTTAAATAAAAATCTTTAAAATTTACTGGTAAATTTTGAAAATAATCATTTTAAGAAAATTATGATTTTTGAAAATAGTTATAAAAAAGATATTGGCAATATCAATAGCAATTGCATCAATATAAGTTAAGCAAAAATATACTTTTTAAATAATTTTTTTACAAAAGTAACAATAGCATCATATCCTGTTTTTTGTTTTTGGTAATTAAGTAACAAGATCCATTGTAATATGATTCCAATATATTGTAGATATTTGTAAAGGTTGAAGAAGTCCAGCAGGTATTTAATTAAATAATTTTATTTATTGACAAGAATTACAACTATTGATATATTTTTTTATATTCTTGTTTAATCTAGATCAAAATAAATTCAAGAGATTCTTTCATAAGTTTTATTTATATCCAAATATCCTGAGATTTCAATATCATGAGCTTCATGTAATAAGATAATTTATATTTCCTTATTATTAAGAATAACAAGTCATTTGTTATTTCAAAAATAAATTAATTTATTATAAAGTTCAAAATTACAAGTTTTTAAATTATTATTATTTTCAGAAGTTAATATTTGATAAATAGGTTTGAAGTAAGAATCCTTTTTATATATTTCTATAATTAATTCTTTATTAATAAGATTAATGAAGTAATATTAAAAAGTTGAGGAACTCGAGATAATATATCTGCTATAATATTTATCCTTCCTAAGTTAATATTTGATATTAAAGTTAAAAGATTGTAATGTTCAAAATCATCAAGCTTGTCATTGAAATAAATGTATTTGAGATTGAATAAATTTTAAAATAATATAATCTGTAATAATAATAAATTGTTTTTCTTCAAGGTAATAACATCAAAATTTAATAGTATAAATAATAGCAAGAAGTTTCTTTTCATAAGTTGGATAATTTAATTTAGTAGAATTTAATTTTCTAGATTTAAGCATAACAGATTAATCACCTTTACCATAATTTTGACTTAATACTACTTCAATTGCAGTGTCAGAAGTATTGATAGTTATAGTAAAAAATTTAGTTTGATTCAGAATAAATAATATAGAAGTTGAAATTAATTTTTCCTTTATTTTATCAAAGGCTTTTTATTGATTTGATTTTTATTCATATGAAATATTCTTTCGCAATAAAGTTGTCAAGAGAGAAGCAATAGTAAAAAAATTTTTAACAAATTTTCTATAATATGAAGTAATTTTTAAAAATGATCTAAGTTCTATTAGATTAATAAGATTTAACTATTTTTTTATTGTTTCTACTTTTCATTTATGAATAAAGATTCTTTCTTCAAAGATGTAATAATCAAGATATTTAACATTGTTTTTTAAGAATTTACATTTTTTTAATTTTGTGTATAGTTAATATTCTCTAAGTTTGAATAATACTTTATATAAATGTTTCAAATGTTTCTCTTTAGTCTTACTGTATATAAGAATATTATCAAGATATATGATCACAAATTCATTAAGATATTTATGAAAAATGTCATTTATGAAGGTTATAAATATTACAGGAACATTTGTTAATTCGAAAAGTAGTATCAAAAATTTATAATAACTATACTGTGTTCAAAATGTAGCTTTATAAACATCTTCTTTTTTTATTCTAATTTGATGATATCTTGAATGTAAATTCAATTTAAAAAAATATTTAATATTAACAGGATAATTTAATAAATCTTCAATTTGAATTAATGGATAATGATTTTGATAGTTATTTTGTTTAAAGCATGATAATTTACACAGAGATATAAAGTTCCTTCTTTTTTGTAAACAAAAAAATAAGAGTGCCAAAAGATGAAACAGAAGATTAAATAAATCCTTTTGTAAAAAATCAGAAAGTTAAATTTTAATTCCTTAATTTTATAATCAAATAATCGATAGACAGGATAAGAAAGAGATTCAACACTAAAAATAAAATCAATTGCATGATCCAATCTTCTTTCTGAAAATAATTTACTTAATAAATTTTTAGAAAAAATATCACTAAATTCTGTTAAAATTTTTTCAGTTTCAAAAAAATATTATTTTAATTTTTCTTTGAAAGATTCCTC